TGCACAACAACAAAAAAGCAGCAGCAGCAAAAAAAAAACACCCGTTCCCTAGGTTGGCCCTTGGAGGCCTTTGAAAAATCTCCGTACATAAGACCTCTTAAGCCCAATAAGGGAAATACAAAATGTCTCAAAGGCCTACCTAGTATCGACGTTCAGATATCCGCTAAACCCTCAACCCTAAACCCTAAACCCTAAAACCCTAAACCCCAAACCCTCAACCCTAAACCATCAACCCTAAACCCTCAACCCTAAATCCTAAACCCTAAACCCTCAACCCTAAAACGAAAACCACTGAGATCTCGGCTCGCGCTCCTCAGCCACGGCGGCCGCGGCGCGCTGCGCCAAGGATTCGATAGGGCCCTCCTGGCACGGCTTTTCTGGGTTTGAGGCTTAAAGGTATTTGGGTTTAGGGTTTAGGGTTTAGGGTTTAGGATTTAGGGTTTAGGGTTTAGGATGTAGGGTTTAGGGTTTAGGGTTTAGGGTTTAGGGTTTAGGGTTGAGGGCTAGGGGTTTAGCGTTCACGGTTCAGGGTTCAGGTTTTGAAAATTAGTCTCAGGGCCTTGGGTTTCTAGTGCTTTTAGGGCGTATTGGATTCAGGGTTTCGGGTCTTGCGGGTGTCCTTTTTGAAACTCTTCCGGGAATCGACTAGGGTTACTGTAGGGTTCAAGGGTCCGCTGCAACCGCGATGGCAAGCTTCAAGCTCGTGCTGCCCGAAAGCCGACACTTGTCGGCCTTAAGAATTAGAATAGGGTTTTGGGCTACAGTAGTGTATAAGTGAATATGGACTATAACGAATACGCAGTTGTTCCGGATGTGTTAAACCCTAAGGAACCCTCAACCCGGAAGCATTACTGTCACGGCTGAACCCCAACGCGAAACCCAAAACCTAAATCACAGCCAAAACGGGCTCGGGCGACCCAGCTTCACGCCGAGTCTTTCGGACGTAACCCGAAAGCCCTGATCGAACCCTCATGAACCCCTATGAAACCATGTCAAAAACGAAACCGTCAAACTCCATAGGGCGAGGATGGATGGACGGATGCATGCCTGGATGGCATGTTCGGATGGCTCTACGATTTGGGTCGGGGCGCGCTCTAGCTCCGCTATTACCCTTTGGCGGAGAAGCTTTAAAGCTCTCGAAAACTTAATGCGACTCCAGGATTCTAGGGTCCTGGCCATACATATACATATACATATATATATATATATATGTATATGTATGTGTGTGTGTATGTGTATATAATACATAGGTATATACATATCGAGATAATTGACAATGAAATTCATGTACTGTCCTCATATACTTACACTACAAGACCTGCAAACCTAGTATAGGGGCCTTAATAATTAGACGTTTGGGGGTATGTTACACCAATCATCAGGAACCCCCAAAAGAATATAGGCAATTACTAAGGCACCTATATTAGTTGCTCAGCCCCAAACCCTCAAAGCCTAAACCTCTGCGGGGCTTTTAGGGCATTAATGCTTCATCAAGGCTTGGGGTAGAAGGGTTTTGAACTTTATGGCATTAAAGCTTAAGGATTGTGGGAATTTAACCCGCCGCCGTAACCCTTGAGCCCCAAAGCCCAAAATCTCAAACCCGAAACACTAAACCCTAAACCACTAAACATGGTCGCCACTGCAAAATCCTTGCAGAGCCCGTTAGAAAGGACCGGACCATATATATATATATATATACTCATATGTTAACAAAGACAAAACCCTAGATGCCCTCGGCCCCTTCAACCGCCTTGCTCCCCTGCGTGGCCTTCTCCGGCCAACCTCCACAAAGCCCCTTTAACCCTAAACCCTACATCCTAAACCCCAAACCCTAAACCCTAAACCCTAAACCCTAGATCAAGAACCCCAAACCCCAAACCCTAAACCCTAAACCCTAAACCCTAGATCAAGAACCCCAAGCCCTAAACCCTAAACCCTAAATCAAGAACCCCAAACCCTAAGCCCTAAATCCTAAACCCCAAACCCTACACCATAAATCGTGGTCGACTTTTGGGGCTCCGGGGTTTTCGTCGGGGGAAGTCTATGGGGCGGGTTTAGGGTTTAGGGTTTAGGGTTTAGGGTTTAGGGTTTAGGGTTTAGGGTTTAGGGTTTAGGGTGGGCTTGCTTCGGATTTCCTGGGACTTCTTATGGTTTCTTGGATGCTTTGGGGTCTGCGAGGGCTTCTCAGGATATAGGGTTTAGGGTTTAGGGTTTAGGGTTTGGGGTCTCAGGGATTTCTTGTGTTTTGTGCAAAGTTTCTGAAGGCTTCTTCGGAGTTAGGGTTGGGCTGGGGCTTCTTAAGGCTTCCTAGGATTTCCATGTTCTTGAGGTTTCTGAGGGTTTAGGGTTTAGGCTTTAGGGTTTAGGGTTCATAGGGTTTAGGCTTTAGGGTTTAGGGTTCCTGAACTTGGGGCTTCTGAGCCTTAGGGTTTGGGTTTCTGAGGCTTTGGGTGTAGGGTTTAGGGTTTAGGGTTCCTGAACTTGGGGTTTCTGAGCCTTAGGGTTTTACGGTTTAGGGTTTCTTATAGGCCTTTAGGGGGTGCCATCCGTGATCCCGGGCTTGATGCAGTGGCCAAACTAGGATATTGGCCTTTTGACTCAGGGCTTAACCGCTTTAACCCCTAAACCCTAAACCCTAAACTCTAAACCCTAAGCCCACACCTCTAGGCCATAAACCCTAAACTCTAAACCCTAAACCAGAAACCCACACCTCGAAACCCTCAACTCTAAACTTCGGGGCTTAGGGTTTCCGCCTGCTTCAGGACTCGATTTCGGGTTGAGGGTTGAGGGCTCTTAGGGCTTAGTGCTTGTGGTTTAGGGTCTAAGGTTCAGGGTTTAGGGCTTGAAGGTTTAGGGTTTAGGGCTTAGGGTTTAAAGGTTTAGGGTATATGACTTTGGACCCAGCTTTTGGGGTTTAAGGTTGGGAAAGATGATTACACAATGGAAGAATGTGAGCTCTGGTAACGACAGCGGCGGTGATGACGACAGCGAAGAAAGGTGGCACTGCTCGTAAACATGGTTCGCAGTGGTGGTAGTGGTAGGTGGCGACAGCAATGACCCTAAACCCCAAACCCAAACACTAAACCCCTAAACCCTAAACACCAACTCCCTAAACCTTAATCTATCGTAGTACTATAGGGGCCTGAATAAGTAGAATAGGGTATTGGGGGCCATTTATAGTATAACTATAACAAGGAACCCCCAAAATGATACACCCTAAACCCTAAACCTCTAACCCCTAAAACCCTAAACCCTAAACCCCTAAACCCGTAAACCCTTAACCCTAAACCCTAAACGTGAAAACCTACATGGCACGAAAGAGCCGCGAGGGACCTGGTTCTTCAGCCACCGGATCTGCTGGGACCGCCTCACCAAGCAAAGAGATTTTACTCTGGGTCTGGGCGGCTTTCGGGGTTGGGGCTGAGGGATTCAGGGGTTTAGGGGTTTAG